ATGCCCATTCATACAGCAATTCACAATTCTACTTTTAAGATTCTATACCTCAGAAATATCCACACTAGTATAGTATATAAAGTCACATGCATGAGATGTTTATTAATGTTATATGTAACAGCAAAATAAAAATAAAAGCAATTTAAAATCTATCAATAGGGGAAAGGTTAAACTGCAGACATTTATACAATAGATTTAAAAACAAATGAGGTAAATCCTTATGTGCTAATGTGGATAATACCTACAAAATGGTGCTAGTATGTTGCAAATATTTTGTTTTCTTGTCTATATAATAGGCTTGGGAACCAGATGGCCTAAATTCAAATATCTGCTCTATCATTTCCTAATTCGTCATCACAGACAAGTTCTTCGTAAACTTCACTTTCCTCACCTGTTAAGTGAGAATAATTACAGAACCTACCCTGGGGTGTAATTTTAACAATTAATCAAGTAAAACCTGTCAAGCATTAAGTGCTCAATAAGTGTTAGGTATTATTTTCCATTAAGCAAACTTTTGTGTTGTTGTTAACAGAGTCAAATCTTCATTCTTTTCCTGTATGACTACTCAATTTTAGCTTCCCTACCTGAAGTAATTCTAATATAAGAATTTTTTTCCTCAAATAGCTAATTCTTACCATTTATTATGAAATTCATGGTCTTGTCATTAATTTGAAATGTTACCTTTATCATAAGCAAAAATTCCTATACATGTATAGGTCTATTTCTAGCCTCTAAACCAGAGGTCAGCAACCATTTTAGGTCAGATAGTAAATGTCACAACCAATCAACATTGCCTTTGTGGCATAAAAGCAGCCACAAATAATATGTAAGTGAAAGAGCATAGCTGTGTTCTGAGGGACACTAAAATATGAACTTCATATAGTTTTTATGTGTCATAAAGTGTTATTTTCTCCCCCTCATCCCCACAAGCATTTAAAAATGTAAAAGCTACTGTTAGGTCACAGGTCATACTAAGAAAGGTAGCCAGCCAGAATTGGCAATCCCTGCTCTAAACTCCTAAATTTCTTTTACTCTTCTAAAAAATTTTTATCCCTTTAAAATTTCACAAAATAAATACATGTGATAAAAAGATATAAGGGCATATAGTAAAAAGTTTCCCTCAAAAAGGAAACTGGACCCAGAAGTCCAGTTTCCTTCTCCAGTTTTTGTGTATCTTTCCAAAGCTAATGCCACCATATACTGAACTGCCTTAGTAAAAATAACTTAGAACATGTTATTTCATCTGTAGGATAAGTTCCTAGAAGTGCAACTGTCTAAATTTCCTTATTCACTGTAACATGTAATTGGTTAGTATCTATAACTTCTCCCTTGATAAGTGCCCAATATGACTTTACCTACTTCCCACCTTCCCAATCAAGTTTAAAATCACATTAAATTTTTGCTCCAGATTATTATAGATTTTAAAATTATGCCTACTCTGGTTTATGAATCCTTTCTTAACACTGCATTAAATTTCTTAACTATGGTTATCAATGACGGGTTAAGAAATAAATTTTATTGTTTTCTTTGATCACTATTTCTTGAATTCTACATCTATTTTTCTTAGATTAATTTTTCATTTTGATATAGCACATCCTAGGTATTCCTAGTGGGTATGGGTGAAAATGGCTTTAGTTTGCCCCCAATCTGAATGATAGTTTGACTACATGTAAGATTCTGAGTTCAAAATATGTCCCACAAACACTTTTTAAACACTGTTCTGTCGTCTAACATTCATATTCCAAATTGGAAATCTATTTGCTAGTCTGATTTCCATTTCTTTACAGGTAACCATATATTTTTAGAAGTTTATGAATTGTGTATTTATCCATGAAGTTGATGTTTCACCAGAATTCATCTAGGTGTATCTCTATCAACATTCTTTTAAGACTCTCAGTATATCTATTCCATTCAAAAACTCACATAATTCTGCTCAAGGAAATATCCTTGTTCTTTTTTTTCTTTTTTGAGACAGAGTTTCACTCTGTTGCCCAGGCTAGAGTGCTGTGGTGTTAGCCTAGCTCACAGCAACCTCAAACTCCTGGGCTCAAGCAATCCTCCTGCCTCAGCCTCCTGAGTAGCTGGGACTACAGGCATGCGCCACCATGCCCGGCTCATTTTGTATATATATTTGTAACTGGCCGATTAATTTCTTTCTATTTTTAGTAGAGACCAGGTCTTGCTCTTGCTCAGGCTGGTCTCGAACTCCTGACCTCGAGCAATCCTCCTGCCTCGGCCTCCCAGAGTGTTAGGATTACAGGCTTGAGCCACCACACCCGGCCTCCTTGTTCTTTGATACAATGTTTTAATTGTTTTCATTCTACTGTGAGGTGGAAATGGGGAATCTGGCATCTGTCAGTTGGTAGGGGAGGAGAGTGGGAAACAGGAGCAGTCAGCACATCTAACATATCTTCCCATAGCTCTCTGCAAAGGCATACTTCCTGATCATCCCCATTGCATGGATGAAGTAACAAAGACCAGAGAGGGAAGGGTTGATCTATATTGCCAGTACTTTGTCCCCTGATACTTATTTTTGTCTGGCTTAGGCTGCCTAAGACTTTGCCTTGATATTTCTACCCTCAGGATCTCTGTTTTCTCTGTGGTTATTTCTTCTCTTTCAATTTCTATTCCCTCCTGGAACTCCTATAACACGTACATTGGCTCTTCTAGATATATTTTCCACATCATGGTAATTCTATCCTACTTCCCATGTTTCAATATTCAAGAACTGATTGCTTTCTTCGAGGCAGCCTATATGTGTTCAAAAAGCATGAGACCCTACCAAATATGAGGATACTAATATTTATTTTAAAGTTTTCTTCTGTCTCTTATATGAACTCCATTGCTTCAGGGCCTAGTTCTTGTTTTGTTCAATATTGGCTTCTCTTACATGCTACTGATTTCTCAGAAATGTTTAGTGATTTTTGTTGTCTGTTCAGAGTATAAATCTACTAGTATTTCAGTCCATGTGGAAATCACTATATTCCTGCAGTAAATTCACATTTGTAACTAACCCTATAACTCAATTTTACATTTATACCTAGTGCTTATGTAGCATGACAATAACAATGTAAGTTCTTTGACTTGGAATCCCATGATTCTTCATTTCATTTTTAGTCATATCCTTTTGGTATTTCATTTCCCCTAACAACCACTAACTTGAGCAACATAGTGCTTATGTAAGTGTTACACCAAACTTCAGAGTCAGGTCATCACCAGCCCTAACAGACTTGTCTAACAGTTAAACAAGTAACAACAGTCTCACAGAAGACTGTCCTTGATGTGCAATCCAAGGGGTAAATAATGTGGTAATGAATGAATCACTTCAGTCTTGAACTCATAATAGTTATGCTTTTTACCAACCTTTAATGCCATGTTACTTAAAATAACAAAATCTATTATATTAGAAAAAAGACTCCACATTAGTTAAAATGTAATTTTCTGCCTACCTTATGACTCAGTCATTCTACAGCTGACAGAAATGCATAGAGGCTCATCAAGACATTTACAAGAATGTTCACAGGCCAGATGATTGCAGTCAAAAAAAATAAAAAAAATAAAAAATAAAAAAAAGAATGTTCACAGCATTTTGAATATTCAAAATACATCATATACAAAAAATGGGAACACAAATGTTCATCAACAGAATAGTCACAGATCATACAGTGGAATATTACACAGTATTAAAAAGAACTACTGATACCATACCATGATATGCATAAATTATACCATACCATGAAATATGGGTGAATCCCACAAGCAATATGCTGGGCATACTGTATGATTCCACTAATATGAAGCTCAAAATAGACAAAACTAAAAGCTGATGAGAGAAATCAGAATACAGATTGGATAGCAGGGATATAACTGACTTGGAAGAAGCAGAGGGAAACTCTTGGGATAATGAAAATGCTCCACAGTTATAATTTGATCTATCTGGTGGTCATACAAAGTAATATGTAAAAAATTGAGCTGTACAATTAAGATTTACATACTTGTTGACTTCATATGTATTTTATACATCAATAAAAAAGAAAGAGAAAAATGTAATTTCCAAACTGGAACTAAAACTGTGCCTATTTAGGTCATAATTCTCTGAGCCATACATATTGGAAATCCATCATCCTTTCTGATTTTTTTAGTCACATGACAGTTGTAAACAAATGGCTGCAGAATAACGATACAAGATGAATGTTAACATTCACAGTCATAAAATACTTGGTTTCTCACTTCCAAGATCAAAGCTACTATTTTAATACAACATTAAAAGCATTAATTCCACCAGAAATGAAGGCCCAGCTCCTGTGAACCTTGAATGATGGTGAAATTTCACATCTCATCTATATTTTAAAAGCAAGCGAGAAAAGGCCTCTAAGTTTAACAAGTCAGGGGCTTAAGAAGCTTCAGATTATAGTCAAATTGTCATTCCGTCAATACCATCATCACAAACAGAAGTGTCACTATCGTGTTTTATAAATTACTGCTCAGTCACTTGTTCAGGAATAAAGTAATTTTCAAGATGAATTCTCTGACAGCTGCCAGAGGCTCCCTAGTCTCCTCGGCCCCAGATTCCTCCACAAACGGGCATCTTTTAAATAAAGGCGTCCGTTCTGGTGTCTGTCAGATAAAGACAGGCTGTCAGAGAAAACCATTTTCAAGCAATAAAGACTGACTAAAAAGTTTACCCTCTGAGAGGAGGGGAGATGTGGTGAGTTGGTTAAACAAAACAAAACAAAAACACTGACACACGAACCAACGGTCTCTGGCAGCACTTTTCTCAGAAAAAAACGCGGCTTTTCCCTAAAACCAGGGCGGACTCCAGGGCTCGTCCGTGAGGCGGCTCCATGGGGACAGGGCCCCAGAAGCGCTCATCCGGGGGCGACCCTCGGGGGACAGAGCTCCGGAGGGGTTCGTCCGTGAGGCTACCCGACCCCGACGGCCCCCGCACCCCCAGGGCCCGAGCCTGGGGTAGCTGCGGACGAGCGGGGCCGGGTACTCACCGAGCTTGCCCGCTATCGCACCGCGGCCGCCGCACTGCCGCCTGCTCCCCGCCGCCAGTACACCCGGCCGGCGCCGCTCCTGGGTCAGCCGCCGCCTCAGCCGCCTCAGCCGCCTAGCCTCCCGGCGCGCAGCCGCGCCGAGAACGGCCACTTCCGGCGCGCGCGAGGAAATGTGGCGGCCGCGCGCCCCGCCCACTCCTGCCAGGTCCCGCCCACCCCGGGCGCACCCGGTGCCCGGCGCAGGACGCCCAGAGCCTGGCACGTTCGTTTAACCACTTAATCTGATAAAAAATATGTGTGTGTGTATCCCCCAAAACGACCTGTGGAGGCCGCAGCATGCCGACCGAGGCTTCTGCCTGAGCCAGCGCCCGCGGGAGAGCCCGGCCGCAGACTGGCTTTGTGGGCACCCTGTCGCGGAACCGGGCGAGGCGGCAGCGCCGGCCTGCGGCGTCCCCAGAGCCCGAGGGGCTGTGAGCGCCCGCGTGCGCGCTGAATTAGGGCCGCCAGGTCCCCAGGGGTGTCCGAGCCTGGTGTCCGAGCCTCCTCGGGAGCGCCGGGTCGCCAGTGACCTGTGGGCTGGTCTCTCCTTTTCTTCGGACCTGGGTTTCCTCACATGTTAAATGACGGAGTTGAGGGGACATGCAGGAAAATGTCTTCGAGGTCGGACATTGTACGATTTCAGCGAGTAGGGGAGGAAAGAGAAGCCCTTTCCCTTTACCCTCCACTCAACCGACGGTTCCAGGAACGTCCCCAAGGCCCTTCGCCGATGGCTGCAAGCCCTCCACGGAGATAAGCCCCGGTCCCTACTGTAAGGCTTTTCAGGGGAAAAACAGAGAGAGAAAGAGTGGGACCAAACCTCGTGGCTGTATTATGCACTCCTGGACGAGGTTCTGGGGTCCCAAGAGAGGGGCCCGCAGACGTCGCACCCGTTTGAAGGGGGTGAGGCCATTTGGGCCGGGCTAGGGACTTTTGGCCGGAAGAGCTGGGGCGACCTTTGGTGGTCATTGAGAAATAGGAGGGGCTGGCGGTATTTGCGGAACCCAGGAGCCAAAACGTTCTTAGGTGTGGACATCTGGGTGTGGTTGTTCTCAGCAGGGCCTGGCAGTTTGTCCATGGCGTGAGCCTTTTCTTTTTGATCTGGGGGTGGGGGGGCATCACCAGCCTTACACCTACTACTCGAATTAAAAACCGCCTCACCTCCTAACGTGGGGCAACACGTGGTAGAGCCACTCCCGTCCACGCCAGGCATTTTCTCCTCTTTGCCCTCCTCCTGCTGGGTTTCCTTTCTCTCTCAGGCGTGATTCCTCCCTTTATCCCGCCTCTGGCTGGCCGTCTAGAGCAGCCCCGCGCAGACACGTGCGCCCCGCGCTCCCCCACTCGGGGAACAGTGGAGAGGAAGCTGGGAGGGGGGTCTTCCGTGCTGGACCTGGCATGAAATGGAAGCAGCAAGGTTAGGAGTAGTTGTCGCATATTTTAGACTATTTGATTCCTCCATTAGACTTGTTTTTAAAGTAACTGAGGTTTCCCCAACAATGGGCTTCAATTGTTAGCTTTATATCATTTTTAAAAATAGTTAAATCAAATACTGAATGTGTGCAGTTTTAATTTGGAGAGAAGATAATGTGTGATTCAAATTCTGTGTCAGATCTTGGGTGATATAATGAGGTTTATAAAATAAGTAGTTCCCAGCCAGGCGCCGTGGCTCACGCCTGTAATCCTAGCACTCTGGGAAGCCAGGGCAGGAGAACCGCTTGAGCTCAGGAGTTTAAGACCAGCCTGAGCAAGAGCAAGATCCCGTCACTACTAAAAATAGAAAAAATTAGCTGGGCTTGGCGGTGAGTGCCTGTAGTCCCAGCTACTCAGGAGGCTGAGGCAGGAGGATTGCTTGAGCCCAGGAGTTTGAGGTTGCTGTGAGCTAGGCTAACACCACGGCACTCTAGCCCTGGCAACAGAGTGAGACTCTGTCTCAAAAACAAAAAAAAAGAAAAAAGAAAAAAAATTGCTTCCCTAAAGATTCTTTGGTCAAAGCTAATGAGCAATTTGGCAAATTTAAGCAGCAATGAACTAAACTCGTGTTCCTAGTAAGTCCTCCCCTACTTGCCTCCCCAAATCCTGCTCTCCCTCTTCTGCCTTAACCTTCTGACCTCTCTCCTTCCACACATTTGTCCACTCCTCCCTTATCTCCCCCTGTCCAGATCCAACAACTCTCCTAAGACTCAAGTCTCCTAAGACTTGAAAATGCCAGTTGCCTCTGTAAAGACCCTTTCCTCCCATGAGCCCTATGTAGGCAACTGTAGAATTTAAACCAAGTGTCCTCAAACTACAGCCTGCGGGCCACATACAGGCGGCCTAGCACATTTATCCAGCCCAGCGGGTGTCTTATCCGGGGCCCACAGTGCGCACTCTCCAACGGTCTGAGGGACAGTGAACTGGCCCCCTGTTTAAAAAGTTTGAGGACCCCTGATTTAAACCTTAGACCCAAGCTGAATTAAGAACCACAATTAAGGACTTCCCCAAACCCAGACAAGATCAGCAACTATTCATAGAATAATCAAGAATATTTTGAGAGACATGCAGCCCAGGGTTACCTGACCTATATCAACTTGTATATATATTGATCAGAACCTCAAATGCTAAACCTTGAATGGCAAAAGCAAACTGGACTCACTGGGAATAAGACCTCTAGGATTCTGCTGTCCACAATAAACCTGAGAGTCCACAAAAAGGCTCAAAACACAAGGCAAAGTCTCTGAAAAGCCATATCTAAAATATTTCCAATTAAAAGATTGGACCATAATTCAGTCATGCAAACAGCCAAAAGATGAATCTGTCCAGATTTTTGGGATAGGCTAGAAAATAACATCTCAACATTTGGGAGTCTAGGAAGCAGCCCTTTCATCTCATTTTGTCAAGGAATTAAATCTAAAATTGAAGACTTTAGCCGGGCATGGTGGCACATGCCTGTAGTCCCAGCTACTTGAGAGGCTGAGGCAGAAGGATTGCTTGAGCCCAGGAGTGGTGAGGTTGCTGTGAGCTAAGCTGATGCCATGGCACTCTAGCCCTGGCAACAAAGTGAGACTCTGTCTCAAAAATAAATAAATAAATAAATAAATAAATAAATAAATAAATAAATAAATAAATAAATAAAATTGAAGACTTAATTTTAAAACAGAAATTAGACTGGGAGGCCGAGGTGGGCGGATCGTTTGAGTTCAGGAGTTCGAAACCAACCTGAGCAAGAGTGAGACCCTGTCTCTACTATAAATAGAAGAATAATTGCCAACTAATATATATAGAAAAAATTAGTCGGGCATGGTGGCGCATGCCTGTAGTCCCAGCTACTCGGGAGGCTGAGGCAGGAGGATTGCTTGAGCCCAGGAGTTGGAGGTTGCTGTGAGCTAGGCTGACGCCATGGCACTCACTCTAGCCTGGGCAACAAAGTGAGACTCTGCCTCAAAACAACAACAAAAAAAAAACCACGGAAATTAGAATGGGAAATAACCCCTTTACCTGAACTACAACACATGGCAGACATTTTGAAGGGGATTTAGAACAAAAAGAAAACATGACCCAAATTAAACTTATGGCCCCACTCCCCAACCAGGCAGCTACTGACAAGGACCGTTGTGGATACTATAAACAGAAGGGGCACTGGAAAAGAAGATCGTCTCATCTTACAAAAGGAAAACCAAGAGAAAAAGAAAAGCCTCTCACTTCAGATCATTGAGGTGATCTGAGGAAGGGAAATGCGCCAATATCCTGCAATCCCTGTAAGCACTCAAGGGGCATTAACGTATGCACAGAAGGTGTGTTAGTTTCCCAGGGATACTGTAACAAATTGCCACAAACTGTGTGAAATGAAACTAGAAATTCTCTCACAATTCTGGGTACCAGAAATCTGAAATCAAAGTGTCAGGAGCGCCATGCTCATCTGAAGGCTCTAGGGGAGGATCCTTCCTGGCCTCTTTCTAGCTCCTGGTGGTTGACAACAGTCCTTGATGCTCCTTGGCTTGTCAGTGTATCAATCCAATCTCTGCCTTTTCACACAGTGTTTTCGCCTGTGTCTTCCCTGTGTCCAAATCTCTCTTTTTCTAAGGATACCAGTCATTGGATTAGGACCCACCCTAATCCAGCATGACCTAATTTTAACTTGATTACATCTACAAATACCCTATTTCCAAATAGGGTTAAATTCACAGGTTTCATGGGTGAGGACTTGAACATATGTTTCTGGGGGACACAATTCTACTTACACAGATGGCAGCCTCATCAGTCTCTGGCACTAGGTACAGGCACTACTGTTTCTACATTAAACCCTGCCACCTGTACTCAACCTTTTCCTTGGTGTAAACACACAACACAGGTGGTAAGCCTTGCAAATAACCCACAGATTTCCTCCATTCCCCAGCCCTTAACTGCAAGCCTTGAGCCCTTGACTATAAAACATTCCTTCCTGCTCTGTGACACCACCCCTGCAAGTTTAATGGGAAGAGACTTACTTTTCAAATGGAACTGTAACAGTAAATAAGACCAAAGCCTCTGGGACTGTTGGGGAGGTCCCTGAGGACTCCTCCACCCATAAGCAAGCTGAGTCTGCTTTGGACAGACTGTTGCCTTCTCCATTACCTTTGACACGTGCTCTCTCAGATGAGGAGCATAACACTCTACCTGGCACTCCCATGGGCTCAAAATTCTACTGATATGGGGAAAGTTATTGGAGCAGAACCTATTAAAGATCAGATAGATCCTACCAAACCATTAACCAAATTCCCCAACATCCCTTGAAGCCAGGGCCAGGGAAAGGATCACACCTATAGTTGAAAGCCTTATATCCAAAGGTCTCCTCACACCCTTGCAACACCCCATCCTGCTGGTACAGACAGGAATGTCTATTTGTTCAAGACCCAAGAGATACCAGCAGAATTGTTCTCCCTCACTTCCTGGTAGTACCTGCCCCAAATGCCATCCTGCCTTTCATTCCACCAGAAGACACTCGCTTCATTGCAGTGGTTCTTTGCTTGGCTTTTCTAATTGTACTTCTAGACTAGAACAGTATTTTTTATTGCAGTAAAATACACGCAACATAAAATTTACCATTTAAACCCTTAAAAAATGTACA